TCCTTCGCACCGGTGAGGACGTTCCTAGGTTCGACACCAAGAGCTGCCGACAGAAAACACTGCATTCAGGATGTGAAGTCTGAACCCGGGTTGACGCTGCATCGTGGCAATTCGGTGCATGGTTGCAGAAGCGAGTGCAGGTTTATCTTGAGCGTTTTTTCTGGTGACTGTTGTGTTGCTGATACTTTAGTTTACTATGGCACTGCTGCAATCCAGGACTGGCAAGCATCCCTGCTTGAAGCTCCACTGTAGTTTTTATAGGAGTTCGACACCCTTGGTTCTGCATGATTTTTGGACAGGTTTCGGATTGTGCTGGCGCATCATCTCTGTCGCCTCGAGGAAGCCCGAGTCATCTTGCGATAGCCCGATCAGCCTTACATCGTTGGATATTGGGATGCTGGATTCCTTGATCTTACATATGAGGTTGAATGAAAGACGTAGGACTTATGAATTGGAGTATGGAGTTCGCGACTTCATAGCCAAGAGACTGCACTCACAAGCAGTACGCTTCCCTGCTGGAGCAGGCGATGGTTATCGATCCAGTGGTAACCACTTGTGCAACTGACAGCGGTGAAGCCCTACCCGAAACTACCAACACTTGCAAGCAGGACCTCATGAAAGCGTGAAACAACATCAGCTGCATCCAGGCCGCGAAATCTCATAAGGATCAAGAAAGATGGCTTCCCAACGGTCACCAAGGTGCGCCTCACTCTGGATCTCGGCGATGTCGGCTCCACACTCCAAGATTTGAAAACCCGAAGCCCAAACCCAATCCTGAGGCCTGACTCCCAAATGCTAGAGCTCACACGCAGACGGAGGTGACAGAACTTGTAGACATGAGCAGTGCCGACATTGATCGCAATGTGGCACTGGCTTTCAACTCCGGCTCGCTCTCTTCGAAGCGATTGTGAGGTTGTAGGGAGCGTCCAGTGACTGGACAGGGCACTCGTGCTGCTCCAGACCCAAATCCTTAACTCAAAGCCCCTAAGCCGTGTCCACTTCTGGCAAGAGGCCGAGTAATAAGTCAGTCCTGGGCAGGACATTGGTGCGTCGTGAATCTGCAAATCGCAGCATGCTTCCAAGCCAACCATTGGTCTACCAGGGAATACCAAATCCCTCAATCTCCCTTGTGTGTAAGACCGCACCGATGCTTTGCATCTTGACGGAACCCTGGCTTCGGGGCGGGCGTCCGTCTGGGCCGAAACAGCGCAGCCCCGAGGCAGTCATGGAGTCCCGCTTCACCTGGGGAAGTGTCTTCGCGTTTCCGGTTGCCTAGGTTTTGCGTTTGGGGTCTCAGCAAGCAAGCAGATAATGAAAATTACCTGAAAATCATCTCCAGAGTGAGCCATGAGCAGTGGCATTATTGGGATTCTCAGTATAGCGATTAGGGACAAGTTTCGGTCGCTTGAATTCCAAGATTTCGATGATACGAACCGGTGATTGAAACGGCTACCTTGAAGGAGAATCCTCAAGGTCCGAGTTTCGAGAAACTTCTCCAAAGAGGCTTCAGTCACCAAACCTCACTAAACGCTACACACCCCAAACAAAAACATATCAAACCCAAGTACGAGTACCAAGCCCTAAAACAAAAAAAGGTTGCACAAGAGAAATGGGTCACATTGTAGAGCTCATGGTTGCCAATGAGATCAAAGCGCTGTGCTGGGCTCCTGCTTGAAGTAGTGTTTCGGGCTTTGGGGCGTAAGACGGAGTTCTTCTTTAAGCTGTGTAGCACCCTTTTGTCCAGCGGATGTTTGCCAGTGTTCCGGCAGAACTAACCACCCTGGAAGAAGACGACGCCTCCTCGAAGTGCCCACTTGCGTGGACGAAGGGTTTCGAGTCTGGGGGATTGGGACTCCAGGGTTGTGCCTAGGCCGTGCTAGCTGGTTACTTCTTAGCTGGAGTTGAGCAAAACTAGGACTGGATGATGCCGAGCAGTACTGCTGCCTCGTGAACTTGTGGTGTCTGTTCCATCTCATAACCCAACCCTTGCACTCCCAAAGTTGAGAAGGCGGGTCGGGCCTGGATAGTACATTGAGCACTGCAGCAAGGGCCGTTTCGCTAGCATTCATCTTCGCATTGCAGCCATCGATGACGTCGCCCAGCTGCACCACCTCAACTTCCCCGAAACCCTGCGCCAGCATCCGGCGGATTTAATGTGCAATCTATCAGGCCCGACAGCCATGCACTGAGTCAAGAGCTGCATCCACGCCGACGGCCTTGCAAGAGCACTGCCATATGCCACCCCCCAGTCAGTCATGCTATGCCATGAACCCAACCCGCCGGCTTTTGCCAAGAATCATTCCAGCACTCGACGGCATTCCGCGCAATATTCAGAGAGTTGCGGAAATGCCGCTGCTCACAGCCTGAAAAGTCAGTGCCATCATCGCAATCTGCGTACCTGAGCTGCACCAGGACCTTGCGAACTCTGCCGCTACAAACTCGAGACGAGGCGCTGTATGTCAGCGATGAGACCGAGTCGGAAAGGTGCTTGCATCGCCATGGTGCGTTTGGGGCAAGCTTACTGCCAAGAGTCACCTCAAACTTATATGCTTTGAACACAGATATCAAAATGTTGAGTCCAAAAGGTCTGAAATCTTCGCTTTGAATTCTGGCAAATCCGAGCTGAGCGCCTGCGGCTGGAGCACGACACGACCTGGAGAATCCTCCGTGAACAGAAGCGCCTAAGCACGAGAAATTATCCTAAGCCCTAAGCATCCCCAAACCTTAAAGACCCCTACAGCCTACGTCGTGGAAATTCCTAGCACCTTAGACCCCATGCATGCATGATTTTTCGGCATAAAGGCAAGATGACAGGTCTTCCTGCTGCCACTTCCTGCCATGCGTTCGACAAAGCAGCCGTGTGATCTAGCTGCTAGCTGGCTTGCTACTCCGGTTAGCCATGCGGGTATTGCTGGTGAGGAGGACAATTGCACTGACACCCCATTGTTATTCTCGTGGCCTTCATCATCCGTGGAGCTGAAATGTTCGGAAAGTCCACGAGTCTACGGCTACTACATTGCTACTACATGTTACCACGCGCCGAGCTCACACCCTGGCCCGCTTTGCGAACCTCGGTCGGGCACCAAAGGATGCTTTCGGGGCTGAATTGGGGCTTGACCGGTTCATTCCTGAGAGCAATTCTCTGGTGCACCAGTCGCAGGCGGCGGTGGACGCTTCATGTTCCCAACCGCCTGGCACAAAAGGGTTTGGCGCGAAGCTCCACATCTAGTTTCGTGAGAGGATCATCCAGGATCAGCATCAGCATCACCATCATCACCACATCCATTAACGTTCTGTGTCAGCATGGTCAACACCCTCGTCTGCATATTGTGAGTAGTAGGCTAACCCGGCAGCGACATGCTCGCATGCAGATACACGCAAACCAGCCGCCAGGCCAGACCTTGCAAACCCAGGCGCTGGCATTGGTGACCTGCCGACGGCAGCTCACGGTCTCACAGTCAAAGGGCTGTCTGGGGGTTCTGTGGTGGAGTCTGTTGAATAGACTCTCGAGTTGAGGTTTCTGTTCCTGTACCATCCAGTACCCTTTCTTTCGCTCGTGCAGGAGATCAAGGTAAATTGCTTGGGGTTCGCGGATCTGGCTTTGCTTTGCGCGGGGTGATCACGCAAATTAAAGTGGAAATGCGAAGATTGCAATACTGTGCCAATACCTCATGACATCACTGCAACTGCCATCGACAAAAAAGAACAGACCAGAGTGAAAAGAGTCAACCCTGCCAGCGCTATGCGATGCATAAACCACCTGAACTTACACCATGTCACCCTGTACACTGGACCCTAAATCCATCTGATCCGCGCCGGATGCCTGCGCCTCTTGCTTCCTCAAGTTGCCTCCGTGCACTAGCAGCACGGTTTGTATAGGGTTAGGGGGCATTGTTCAGGATGTCGTACCCTGGGAGTGCAGGGAGCAGAAGATGTTCAGCCGCACCGGTTGGGACGTGTCGCCCATTTTCACAATAAAGCAAAATCTTGCCACTGCAGGAGCACGATTTTGGACGTGCGTGTGCCTCTCTGAAAACAACACTACTTTCACAGGTCGTTCTGTGGAAACCATGGCAGGCGTGGCATTTTGTGTGATTCGACGTGTCCTGTTTTGAAGGTGGTTCGTTCTCAGGCCAAAAACACCATGCACCTCGAGGTGTTTGCTCTTTCAGTGTGTAACAACGAGGTTTGTAGGTTGCCGTAAAATTTGAGGTTACACTTGCCTGACGGAGCTTTATTTGCTTCTGTTGCGCTATGTCTTGCATCCGAAATTCCGGAAAGTCGAATCAGCAACCAACAACCCGGACAGGCAGGTCTTCAAACTCCTGAGTAGATCAAAGCTAGCGATGCCCGCGAGTCGCGGGCCAGTCGAATATAGCGTCGGCAGAGGACAAAGCGGATCAAACAAAAAAAGCAACGTGCAAACAATTTAACATAAGACAAGGGGGTCAGTCACGAGGCAAACTCGTGGCGCCGATATAGCAAATGAAAGCAGATAACACCACCCTCCCACCTTGCCTGAAGCGCGCCAAAACACACGACGGCAATCGACCCGTTAGCATATTGAGGAGTCACTGATTAGTATAAACAATGCGAGAGTCAGTTGAATGAACACTGCACAATGGGCCCACGAGCTCAAGAAACCCTTCGTATCATAAACTGAAGTCAACATGCTATGTACATGCGTAGGCACATAGAGGTGAGCATAGATCTCTCTACATATAGATAGATCGATAGACAGACAGACAGATAGATAGATAGATAGATATATGATTCATCTATCCATCTACCCATCTATCTATCTATCTATCTATCTATCTATCGCACTATCTAACTATGTAACTATCTATCTATACATCTATCTATCTATCTATCTATCTATCGATCTATCTATCTAGATGTGTCCACGCATCTATGCATATGTGTATCTACATGCTCCAGAATAAGTAAGCCTTCGTCGCTGCTGTTGGCCCCTGTCCCTTGGACAGCTAGGGCTCCTGCGCACAATGTGGACGGCCGAGCCCGCCGGCAACTCGTGCAAAGCCGACAAAGCCTGAAGGAGACGTGCAGAAGGCTTCAGCGTTAAGTTCAGGGCCTCGGTCCTTGAGGGGAGTTCTCTGGCGTTTTGAGTTTTCGTGTTCACAGGCTTTCTCAAAACCAGTAGGGTCTGAAGTCGAAGTTCATCGATTCGGGTGAAGGGGTCGGAGTGCTGGGAGCACCTGTCACCTGTGCCCAGGCCCGAAATTTAGCATCGCAAACTCACAGATCCGACGCCCTCGATCCCAAGCCCACCGGAGCGGAGGTGTCAATTCCTCAATTGTGGCCGAAAAGCCTGTAGCCCTAAGCCTTATAAACTCCATCTCATACAAACCAAAAACCGTCATGTTGAACTACATCACCTAACTTTCGAGCCTGAGGCAAACCGACACCTTCGAATACCTGGCGCAGCCTTCTCATCAAGGCTGGCAGAGACCATGCCGAGCTCCTATGCAGCTTCTTGTTTCTCCCATTGATGGTTCTGGGATTCGAACTGTTGCGTCCCGGTGTTCCGGACTTCTCTTTAATCGGGTGCAGCAGGTTTGAGATTTAGGCATTGGGGGTTGGAAGCCTTGGGGGGGTTTGCAATTCAGGTTTGCGGAGCCAGGAGCCCGGACTATACTTCGAATATGGCCTGTAGATATATGCACCTTTATGTATGCATGTACGTATCTATGCATGTATGCATCTATTATTTGTGTCTCTGTGTGCGTGTACGTGTCTCATCGTCATGGCAAGAAAATCCCTGCAGGAGATTCTTCCGGCCCAGGTCTCCTCTTCCAGCTCCATGATATCTCCATCCATCGGACTGGATAGGAAGCGGCTGTTGGGCACTTTTCGATCGATTCTACGCTGCTGCCGAGGTGGCTGTGGGGCTTCGACGGTTAGAGGTTCAGGCGTTGGGGCAAGGGTAGTTTGGGTTCGTGGGCCCCTGGTGGAGGCAGAAAAGTTGTACACAACCTCTCACACACACACACACACATGCACACAGCATTGACCACTACGCCTGTGCGCCCAATTACCACCAATCCGGGACGCCACCCTAAAAGGCATAAGGGTATTCGGGAAGCGGGCTTGCGAACCCTCAATCCTGAATTTTATGCACCCTGCAAAAGGCAGGCCGATGCAGGAGGCAAGCGCGCAAGATGAGTCGCGGACGGCGGCGGTGGGCTGAGGCTATCCGGCAGTGCCTTCGGAACGATGAAAGAGTCGGAGTCGGAGCCTACCATCAAAGCTTTGCCTTTCGAGGTGGCTTTACATTGCCCCATGGTTTGGCCAGGCTTGCTGTAGGTTCCAACATGCTCCAAACGTTACGCCAAAATCGGAATGTCACGGCCGTCATTTGCAGGGAGATCATGCACACGGCACGTGCACTGCAAAAGTAGTTCGCTGACCACAGATGCCCCTTCCTGCATCGGTGGTCTTGATGCACCTGCCATGCTCAAGCTGGTATTCTTGACTTTCCCCTGCCGACTCTAGCTGTACAAAAGAAGCAACCGTTTGGGCAAAAGGGCATGCCGGCAAGACCCGGAGACTCGTGCTGGGCATTCCTGACTGCCTCGCTGACATTAATGCGAACGCGCGGATGCAAGCAGGATGGTCGTTCGTACCCCATGTAGCTACAAGCAGAGTAATCCGAGGATAGCCCGACAAGCACCCGGCACGCCTAAGCTCGACTAGGCCATCAACGAGGATCCGCACGCAAATCTCCCTCGGAAGTGTTTCAGGCTACACCTCATGAGGTACACGAACCACGATGGCAATGATCAGTATCATGATGGTACTAACATGTACTAACACCCCGAAGTCGCTGTTTTCAATAAATTGCAACAAAAAGTCTGCTGCATTCGGTCGTGATAGAACCCGGCCTTCATGACGTAAGCAGACGGATTGTTGACCTGCTCCGCTTCAGGGCTCTTTCGCTCGTCAGAGTGAGAACAACAGCTATGTCTATACCGACTCAGACCGAAAACAACACAGGAGTGGCCTTGGATCTCTGATCTGACAGCTGCAGCACAATCTTGCGGGCAACCTGCAATTCCGTCAACAGAAGTCTGTGCCGCAGACTCGCCGCCATCTGAACACTTTGCTGCTGGCTTTGTTCAAAGCTCGTATCGGCTTCCGAGCTTCTGTGCACGGTCAAAACCTCTTATCAGTTCCTTGACGCTAACAAACCCTTGCGCGTTTATGGTGCGCACAGCTTCCGCGGAGCCGGCTGTCCCTTAAGAGCGGCCCTTGAGTCTGCTTCAAGCTTTAAGCCCTTGCGCGTTTCAGGTCAAGGGCTGAAGCCCTAGTTTGCTGAGATTCTCTTCCACTAAAACGATTTGCAACGTCGGTAGCATAGCGAGGCCGGGTTTGGGCCAGGGCAGGGCAGGGCAGCAGGGGGGCAGAGGCAGCCCGCAGCGGCCCCATGTTGCTAGGGACTGTCACACAAAAGGGATGGGGGTTTGTTCGAAGTTGGAG